AATTAGGTCTTTAATCACATAAAAATGAGTTATGAAGCCAAGGATGTTACCTCCAAGCGATTCCCCTTTGTTTTCCTCAAAAATCACTCTTAAAAGCTTCAAAAACGATTAGAAATGGTGGAAATAAACTCCCAAATCGCTGAACCCCTTTTTAAAATAATGCCCAGCAGTTTCCGCATCTGCAGTCCTGGGACCGCATCTATAGTCCTGCTTCTACGGAACAAATGTCGCATCTGCGACTTCCCACTTAAGGCCAGATTCCACATCTGCGGCCCTTTACCCGTAGGTGCAGTACCACTTCTGCGAAAAATATGTCATATATGCGGTTCCTGGAGAGATGGCCAATTTTTGCTTCTACGGCTCCTTAACTGCTTCTGTGGCTCCGCATCTGCAATCCCCAAACCACATATGTGAAAATACCAGAAGGCCAGCTGCTGCACAACTTCAACTCCAAAACTTTTCTCCGTTAACCATCCGAATTCATCCCGAGGCCCCGGGACCTCAACCAAGGGCATCAACATATCCTAAAACCTTATTCAAACTTGTTCATATCTTCAAAACACTTCAAACAATATCAAAATAGCCAAAACACATCGGATTCAAGCCTAAGTTTCAAAAATCTTTCGAATTCCGTTTTCGTTTAAAAACCCAACCAAAACACGTCCGAATGACCTGAAATTTTGCACACACATCCCAAATTATATAATGAAACTATTGCAACTCTCGGAATTCCATTCCGACCCTCGGATCAAAATCTCGCTATCGAACCGGAAACTTCAAAATTTCGACATTCGGCATTTCAAGCCTAAATTAGCTACGGACCTCCAAAATACAATTTGGACATGCTCCTAACCTCGAAATAACCCAATGGATCTAACGGAACCATCGTATTTCTATTCCGAGTCCGTCTTCATACTGTTATAACTACGGTCAACTTTCCAACACTTAAGCTCTCATTTAGGGACTAAGTGACCCGAAACTCATCGAAATTCAAAACCGAACATCCCGGCAATTTACATTAGCAGAAATAAACTTGGGGAAAGCAGTTAATAGGGGATCGGGGCGTTAATTCTTAAGACGACCGGCCAAGTTGTCACACTATTATCTATTATACTTTGATTAGAAGTGTTACTAAGGGTTTGCATGTTATTTGTATTGGTGATTTCCATGTCAGCCACATTGTCAGTACAAGAACTAGGTAAGGACATGTTAATGACGCCGTTTAACTTAGGAGAATTATTAGGGCTTTGCAAAAAAATCCTTTATTTTTATTTCACTGGGCGGACTAACCAAGGTGGAAAATTTGTTGTTGCAGTCCACAAGGTTTTCTTGAGGAGAATAGCAATCATTGGTTGTAGGTTTACTGCCATTTACTGATTGAGTGTTAATGTGGATATACTTAGTAATAGAGGAAGGGGAAGGATACTTACCTGGTATTGGATGTAAAGATTTTGCTTGGATACCTAGGTTTTGATATCTTCCAGAATTTCTTCAATTGGTCCTTTTCTTCTTAGGAAACTTAACCTTTTGCCATGCTAGCTCATTTACTGCATTGTCATTGTTCATCTCTTCATGTATGGCAGCAGTATTTTCCATCGAGTGGTTTGATGTCAGAGGTGTTTTGACGTAGAGACATTTCAATGCCACATGGCCTAATCTTCCACATTGCTTGCATAGGGTATTTTCCCCCTCATAATAGATGATTTGTTTGTGATGGCCAATTTTGGTGAAAGAAATTACTGGAACTTCTAGAGGAAGCCCTATGCATAATATCGCATAGCGACCCCTTAGAGTGGAAGAGGTGTATGTATTAACCTTTAATAATTTACCGATGGCATTTCCTATTTTTGCCAAGATGATTCCATCATAAAACTCAGTTGGAAATTGGGGCATACGGATCCAAATGGCAATGAGGGAGCTTTTAACTTCTGTTGCCACGAAGTTTGGCTTCCATCTTTGGATGGAGAGGAAATGGCCAAATATGAACCATAGGCCAGAATTTAGAACTTTAATCATGTGCTATTCACATTTAAATTTGGCTATGTAGTAGTCTGCTCCCAAATCGATGAGGGGGAAATTATCTATAATTTTCCAAGCTTCCTGGATTTTCTTTTTTAGGATATGATGTTGAATTTTCTTACCAATAATCTTTATAATGAGAGAATATTTCCAGGGTTGATATATTCATGCTTGATCTTCCTCTGAGAGTTGAATTGTATTAGCATTTGACTATTTTGCATAGCAAAAGGTTCTTGGACCTTAGTTGTAGTATCCATAATTGTAGGGGCTTCAGTAATAGTTAGAGAATGTTGTATTCTCTCGCTTAGTTTTTCTTTGTAGCTTCTAACTACTTCTTTTTGGGTGGGAATACCCTTATCTGGTAGTTTAGGGGGGATATGGCGGTTGATGTCTGTAACCATATAGCTATTGAATTAAGAAGATGAATGTGTTCTGTAAGGTAGTAAGTTAGAGCTTGTGACTTATATCTGCCGGATTTTGGAGTTGTTTATACTTTGAGTTATAGATTTTATTTATTACATATATTGATGCTTTGAGTTTTAGCTTAATATTCAGTTATTCCGCATACTTGTTAGGTTTACCTAGTCTTAGGGACTAGGTGCCGTCACGACATCTTATGGAGAGAAATTGGGGCCGTGACACACATTTTCAAAGAATGGGCCATAATCATCCAAACATGTCTTATATTTACAGACCATATTGATACACATTTCCTTCACCTTTAAAGGATTATTTTGAGAATCCTTATTGTTCTCCTTTTTACAATTAGCATAATAAGGACTATTATTATTTTTGTCTTTGGCACGACCACGTTTATTGGTCAATCGCTTGTCTTCATTTAGATTTATTATGCACTGCAATCACATTCACTTCAAGAATAGAGCATATCAAGTGGTATAAGCTTCATGATTTTTCATCAAAAGCATAATATTAATTTGCCTCAGTCATCATTATATCATCAATGTGGTGCATTGGGACTCAAACCCAATGTCTTACCCATAAAAAGGTATGTTATTAGGCTATAATAAGTTGGAACTCGAACTCAACTCTTACAATCATGGAACATCATGACTCAAAACCCGTTGTCTTATTCTCATGGTGCAGTGAACTTGAATCTACCGCTTTACCCTCAATCAATAGCATAATAGGCTAAACAATATTGAGATTCACTCTCAAGCCTAATTTTAATCACATGCCAAGAAAGTTGAACACGACTAATTTACAACTTAGCAAATCAAATTTGCTCTCTTAAATAAGTCTACAAATCTCAAATCAGCATAAAGCTTTATCAATTATTTATAGCATCTATATGAAATATAGACATATGAAATACAATTGTTTGTGGTCAGAGCATTTCTTTAAATTCTATTAGAGTTTAAATGGATCATAAAATCATTATCATAATATTTATTGAGGCTCTCTCAAAAATATTATTATTTTTGGGGTATACCCTGCCTATTGGATTTGATTTAACGCCATAGACTTTGCTTCACTGACTTCAACCAAGCAATTAGTGAATCAATTTATCAAAAGTACAATATATAGATAACAACATATATATAATACTAATACATAAATTCAGCATTTAATTTACCTGAAAAGTGACACTATAGGTAACAACTTACCAGTTGTAACTTGTGCATCATTCGTGCAAAATACTTGAAAATGGTGAGTCAGTAGCAAGCATCAAGTAGGCCATGGATATTCGAAAATACCTCTTCTAATAGTCAAACTAATCGCTGCTTGTTTTCAAATGATACGACCATAAATTATGAAGTATATTTTCTCAATAGCTGATTTATTTTCCGAATTTCGAAAAAATAATTAATCAACTTAGATAAAGATGTGAAGTATTTCTTGTTTTCTTTAAGATGATTTATGCTTTTAGTCAGTATGACCAAAGTTTATTTATTTTTCCCTTGCTATCACAGTAATAAGTAGCACTAACAGTACGTTAAATATTTGATAGTTTCTAACAAGAAATGTGTATTGCTTACTCACCTAATGTGAAGAAAGACAGAGCATTATGTTTACCTTTTCTTCTATTGGCAAAAATGTCCACGTCATAACAACACCAGACAACTGTCAGTGTAGAATTAAATTAGAAAAATCAAACTCAAGTTCATAATAGTTTAGAGACTCGTGCTGACAACGTGTTATTTCTTTCATGTATTCAAGTGTGTACAATGTGATTACAAACCCTCTATTTATAGGATGACATTAACGTAATACAAAGGGATATCATAAACATACTATTAACTATTAAGAACATAGGAAAAGATCATGGATGAGGTTATGAAGTCGTGGGAGCTACAACTATAATGGTGAAGAACATAATAAAGAAGAGTAGTGGAAATTATATTTGTGTAGTGGACATCCATACAAATAATATATTTCATAACAGTTTCTCTTCAAAACAATATTTTTGAAAAGCATTTTTGAGAAAAATACACTTAAAAGTACTTTTTAAAAACTTGGTCAAACACAAATTGTTATTCAAAAGGACTTTTCATGTTAACTAATCAAACATAAATTGATTCTCACTAAAAGTATTTTTAAAAATATTTTTAAAATAAATTGACTTTAGAAGTTTGACCAAACAAGCTCTTAAACTCATTAAATAAACAGTTGAATGGTGTTTTAGCTTAATGCATATTACTTTGACAGAGAAAAAACAGTTGATTGTAATCATACCAACCGATTTCGAAAAGAAATTTTGAATACTTTTTCTTTCAAAAATCTAATTTGAAAAAAAATTATTACCCAAAAGCATTCTCTTCTTGGATTAACACGTTCTTAATCAAGTTGCACTACTTGATTTCCCAATAGAAAATAAATCAACGAGACTATGTCCATACAATACGAATTAGTTTAAAATTTTGAATTCGTCTTTGAATTGATTGGGCATTTGACATATATGTCACATTAGTGAGCAGCCTTGTATAGGTAATGACTAGCCTATCTGGACAAAGGCATATATCTCGCATGCATACCCAACGGAACCAACTCACAAAATTCACGATATATTTGTGAGTCCTGCATAGACCCAGTCTTGGCTTTTTCTTCACTCGAAGCGTTATATAATTGGCAGTGTGAAATGCATTTTCCTATAACAACACTTCTGTGTAACTCGCTTCTTCATTTGAATTCTAAGTTACTTTTTACAGATTACTGGAATTCTTTTTCCTCTGTTGGATGTTGAATCATGTTTTTTACCGAGGAAGCTATGCTTTTGCTCTCAACAATGGCTGTTCTTAGTTTGTTTACAGCCACGCTAGGCGGCGGCGCCGTGTACAAAGTGGGTGATGCAGCTGGCTGGACGATCGGCGGCGCCAATGTTGACTACCATATGTGGGCTTCATCTAAAGTTTTCCGAGTCGGCGACATTCTCGGTAAGTCCGCCTTGTCTATGTATAAAGCTTCTGTTTTTGTTCCGATTTCCAGTGGCCATACGATCAATTCACATTTTTCCGCAATTTTGTGAGATTCGATTGCGTTTTCGACTAACAACTTGTAACACAAGATTGTTTAGATAGTTGAGATTTGGCAGTTCTTTCTTTTTTTTTTCACTTAGTAGAGAGGAACAAAGAACTAATTATTGAGATTCTTGATCGTGAAATTAGAGGCTATTGAGTAGTCCCCTTGTGATAAAATATTGAGAAACAAAGTGTATCTTTCCACTAAATTTCGTACTCGTAACACTATTGTCAAATGATGTTTGATCGAGTTGTACTCTTTGATTCAGGATTTAAATTTAGTAAATTGAATGTGTATACATGATACATGTACATATACATTTATATACAAACATTCAGGATTTACATAAAGTAAGTTTAAATACGTATGCATTATCGTATATATATATTATACATATCATACATTGTTTGAGAGAAAACTAGAGTCGTGGATGTGATTCTAGAAGGTTGTTATTGATATAGAAGTTAGAATGTTTGACTTATTTTTCCTGATTACTAATTTCCTTTATTAAGGTTAGTTTATCTATATCTTCTTTTCTCCAACGGCTACCTATAATTTGTATCTTGTAAATAACTTGTCTAAGTTATTAGTACCTAAATGCTTTTAACAATAACATGATAACCTGAAAAATCATCATAAAAATCAAAATTTACCACAATGTTGTAGCATTTCNTCTAGTTTAGTACTACTTAAATGCTTTTAACAATAACATGATAACCTGAAAAATTCATGATATGTGAGATGATAAAAATCAAAATTTACCACATTGTAGCATTTGTCATTGATTTCAACTTCAAATGGTACTGTAGTTTTCCAGTACAACCGAACACAACACAACGTACTACGAGTGAGCCTCCCCGATTACCACTCGTGTAACGCCGCAAATCCAATTGCCACTTACTCCTCCGGCAACGACTCCATCACCATCAAAGGTCCGGGTCACTACTACTATATCTGCGGTTTTCCAGGCCACTGCAAGGCTGGACAGAAGATTGATGTCAGGGTCCTTAAAGTTTCTGAGCCCACTGATTTCAGTAGTAAAAGCCCAAGTCCAGCTCCAGCCCCAGCAGCCCCATCTACTAATGGGCATGCAATTGCACCTAGCCCAGTCACAAAGAGCAGTGCCCCCTCATTGCTCTTGAATAATGGGCTTAGGCTGTCCCTCACTTTGTTCATGATTGTTATTGGTGCAGTTTCTTTACTTTAATTGTACTGTGCTATAATCTGATGTTGTAGTTTAATGTTCATGATCTGGAGCATTTTGGTGATTAACCATTGTTTCATTGGGTTTTAATATGCAGCTGTATGGGAATGCTGATAGATTTTAATTTATTGCAGTCAGTAGTTGTCTTATGTTCGAACTCGTGCATTGCGTTTTCTTTTGTAGTGTCTTAATGGTTGAGTTGTCCTCTTGGATGATTCTTCTAGAGTTAAAAGAATTTTTAAACTATCATGACACTTAAAAGATAGGTACAAATAATATTTTATAAAATTAGTTGGAACAAGTAATATGGAAAATAAGTTCAATGTATGTAAGTAAAAGCTTATATTTTATTATTCTTAACTAGATTTGAGGCCTTTGGAATCTTTGATCTCCCTTGAAAAAAAAAAGTGAAAGAGACATAAGAGTATAAAAAGTACTCCCTCAAATAAACTAGAAAAAAAAAATGCAAATAGCTGATAGTAATCGCAATGGTATGTTGGAATGACAGATGTAACCATTAATAACTTACGTGAGTATCAATTAACATCAGTAGTAAAAAAGGAAAGAAAATCAAGAATTGAAAGAAGAATTAATGGAGCTACCAGAAATCACGAAGACCAAATGGTAAATTCAAACAAAATCTTTTTCTTTCCAAGAACTGATAAAATTGGTTGCTATATATAACAAACAAAATCAGTTTCATTCCAAAAACCGATAAAACAGGTTGTTATATACAACTAGACACCCTCATTCACTCACCTTTCGAAACTTATTTGTGCCTCCATTTCTTTTGACTAATTAGTAGCTATGATTCTGCCGAAGAAAGCCATGCTGTTGTTTTTGATGGTTCTGGTATTTTGTGGTGTAACAAAGGGTGAAGTTTACAAGGTTGGTGACTCCACAGGATGGACAGACATTGGTCACTTTGACTACAAATCTTGGTCTGCCAGTAAGAATTTCCGTGTTGGCGATTCCATTGGTAAGTAATTTACTTAGGCATGTGAACATTGAATTACTAAAAGGAATTGTAGCACAAAAGTGTAGGCTTGGTAATTATTCACCATATGATGAGATGGAGATATAGAGAAAACGTATTTACTTTGTTATATCGCTTAAAAATAAAGAGTTATACACTTCGAAATAGAAATGTGATGGGAATTTGGATCTATACCATTAAAAAGTTTTACATCATTTTATATAAAAGTGAGTAATGGTAGAGATGCTTTTTTGCACCCAAGAGGATTAAGAACAAGAGATAAGATTTGGTCACATGCATAGGTGATAGATCTAGTTTTTTTTTCCTGTGTTCCTTGCGGAAGAACACTAAGTTTAGGTATGCTTATATGAACTTTCAATGCAAAACCAAATTAGGCCGCATAAAATTCAATGAAAGGCCTTTGAAGTGTTAATATGTTTTCTCTGCTTTAGATCAAATAGCAAAAGTAATTAAATACTTTCCTAGGCGAAATTACCAAATTCATAATATTAAAAGAGTTTTTATTTTAGCACCATCTATTACAGAACTTCATATGGAAAATTGTTGTTAAAATAGCAATAATCATAAGTTATCGAGGAACTAAATAGAATCTTTTACTATTGTATTTGCAAAACTTTGGCCTACTTCGTTACATTGTAGCTGTATATAAATCTATTATTAATAAGGATTTATTTATGCTTACTTTATAAATTATCAGCTAAATGAGCTATCAATAGCTTCTTTTTTTTCAAAGAATAAGATCCTATTAGGGTACGAAATTAACGACCAAGAGTTCTCCTTCTTTGAAAATGACATTTAATTATAACCGACCAATTGAGATACTTTTGGATGTTAATGTATATTGCTATGTATTAGCTTTTGATTTTGAGTTATACCTTTATTATCGTTTTCTTTGGGACAGTGTTCGAGTACAACAAGCAATTCCACAACGTGGTGAGAGTGACACACAAGAACTTCGATGCATGCAATGCCGCAACAACATATTCCACCTTCAACACTGGCAATGACACCTTTGTGATCAGAAGGCCAGGCCACTTCTACTTCATTTGCAGCTTCCCTGGACATTGTCAAAATGGCCAGAAAGTTGACATCAGAGTTCCTAAGCCAACGAAATCATCGTCCTCGCCATCGTCTTCGCCTTCGTCTAAGCCTAATTCTCCATTGGAGCCAGTTACTCCATCAGCAACATGGGCACCTTCACCATCTCCTGCTGCTGATGATAAGAAAAGTGGATCCTCTGAATTGTTCTTCTCTTTCAAGCTTTGGTTGTCCATGCTTTTAATAGTTGCCTCTATGGTTTAATAGATTCATAATATTCGTTACTAGCAAAAGGTCCGGTTCTTTCTTTCTTCAAAGACAGTTTTTTTAAAAAAAATTTAAGTAGGCATGTTATGGTTTAATATTGACATTACTGCTTGGTAATTCAAAGTAATTTTTATTATTTACCTGTTTATATTATAAAGACTTAAGAGACTTAAGAGCTGNACTAGTTAGAGCTGTATAGGCTCAGATACCATATAAAGACTTAAGAGCTGATGGAAAAACTGTCTTCTGTATTGAATAGCAAGCTGAGTATATATACAAGTTTACCTAAGACTACTCCTTGTATTAGGAGACTTATTCAACATAAAGGCTATCAAAATAAACTAACTGATAGATACTCTCAATGAGAGGATAACTTTAGATCTATTTGTGTAACTAAAAGGATAAACATAAAAGATAAAGACTACTAGATGAGAATTCGTAACAATCTGGGAAGAGGAACTGGTTGAATTCGTACACTACTAGAAATCCGGTAAAAAGCGACCACAAAAAGCGACCAAAGTTGGTCGCTTATAGGCCTAAAAGCGACCAAAAAGCGACCAAACATGCCTGGTCGCAATATTGCTGGTCCCTTTATTTTAGGGACCAAAGTTGGTCGCTAATTAGCGACCAACTTTGGTCTCTAAGGTAAAAGGACCAAATATTCTGATTTTGACTTTAGTGACCAACTTTGGTCGCTATATTAATTTAATAATATAAATTTGGCGACCAAAGTTGGTCTCTACATATGAAATATGTTGTTTTTAATTTATCATTAATCATTAGAAAGCGACCAACTTTGGTCTTTAATTCAAATATTATATTTTAAAATCTGGATAATAAAGACCAAAGTTGGTCGCTAAATTCAAGAATTTAATTTTTTTTTTAAAGATAAGCGACCAACATTGGTCGCTATATTTCCAGAAATTATATTTTTTTAATAGAAATCTGGGCAGGTAGCGACCAAGGTTGGTCGCTATTGCCCAAAAAATTAT